CGGCACGGTTCAGTGGAGCTAGCTCCCATTGTCTCAATGTGGCCAGTTTGTTCGGTTGCTTCTGATTGCCCGGTGAATCCAAATGCACCAGACTCTCTCATGTGTATCATTTCAGAGGTGTTTAATCGGTCAAAAATATTTCATTTGTAAATAGTGTTTACTCTAAAATATTACATTTTTGAAAGGTCATGATCTATCTTTTTCTTTCTTGTTTTGCTTTGCCCTGACTGACGGGTGGATGGCGTAGGGTGTTGGGTAAGTTTATGGTGTTAGTCTAGTTAATTATCATTTTGTGTGACAAATGTGCCTTTTAAGCCTATTGTCGATTTGGTAATTTTTCTTGTTAATTCATACCTTTGAATGTGTCACAAATGGAGCACCTTTCTTTCTCAGGGTTGTGGAATTTGCATCGAGAGATAGTCTCAACCGTTGTATCGACAAGATGAACAAGTTTCAGATTCGTGGTCGAGGGCTTGTTGTGAAAGTTGTAAGTTTACCAGGATGTCTAATTTTTCGCCGCATATGTTAACAGCTTCTAAGGGATGAATGATGGAATGTCATCTTGGCATATTTTTTCTGCTGTTAAAACTTGCTCTGCCCTGGATCTCCCAAATGATTGCACCGGCTTTTGTAAAAGTTGTTTGATGGATTTTGGACTGTTGGCCATCATTCTATGACTGGTCATGGGTTTAAAGTCCATGTCTAGTTACAAGTGCAAGGAAAGTAGTACCATTTTGTTTATTGTATTCTACCTAAACTGTTTTTCTGGCAAAAATGCCTCGGAAATTGGCTTCCATCGATCTTTTGAAACTAAGGATGCTGCTTCTCCAGTTATTCACTCGAAATCTTGCACCTTTGCTGTGTATGACACTGAGGTCACAAGTTCAGTTTTTAACTGAATGTGCACAAAGTTGAGACAGTATCTTGCAGTAGTACACTTCCTCACATTTCACCTCTCATAGGTGACTCAAGAAGTCACACTGTAGTGTTTAACACCAACACCCCTCCTGTAAGATTTCACTCCCCTGTTTTTATTCCGTTCTCCATTGATCTTGATCGTCAGGACACAGACCGGCGCTACAGCGACAAGTACCGGCGGCAGGCCGACAAGGAACAGAAGGCCCGTGTCATGTTGACCCCACAAGTGCTGGCGCAGCTCAACCTGGATCCTAGCACCGTCACCGACACAGTGTTTGTCTCCAACGTAAGTTCAGTACCCCAGCCTCCCTAATTCAAACACTATGCCATTATCTCTTAAATGCAGGACCCGATCAAAAAACGTCAAAATACCACATGACTTAACAGCTTCCCCAAGATTGGCAATGACTGTTCCGTTGGCTAACTTAAGTCATACATTGTAAACTTAACAGTGAGAATCATTTTCTGATAACCTTGAATTCTGTATCAAATGTCATAATTTTATGATTATTTTTTTATTTTTATCTTAATAATGATTATTTTTTGTTGCGCTCTTTCTTGCCTTGCCTTTCTATTTGGGTCTTGGGAGACATACGCCTTTTGGCGACAGTTTATTTTTAAACTGTTATGTTCTCCTGGGCGGCCCGCTGTGTCTCGTGATTGTCTTGTGTGTTTAATTGCCCCAAATAAATTGTAGTATCATTATTATTATAATGGTCATTACTTGTGCCCTGTTAGATGGTCGTTATGTTGATGCAGCATCCATTGCTGGCTCTGCTTTTTTTGTTTTCACATGTTATTTACAATTTCTTGAAGTTTTGAAAGCTTCTACCTAAATACGGTGTGTGGCGTAGTTGTCTTGGCCTATGATAATGCCGGACGTACGTCCTAGCAAACAGAAACCACTTGGATATGGCACTGCCACACACATTGGTCCTAGTTGCCAGTTTATGCCCTCAAGAGGTAGCCTGCTCGCTAAGCTGACAGACCAGAGGGTGTAATGCTGTCAAAGTCAGCACTTCCCCAGAACTGTTAAATGGTTTCGATGTTCTGAAGAAAACGCTTGACCACCAATGCAGATTCCTTTCGATGTGGAGTGGATGGAACTGAAAGACGTCTTCCAAATTGCGGGGAAAGTCATACATTGCGACATCCTAACAGACAATAGAGGAAAGAGTAAAGGCAGTGCTACGGTCAAGTTTGAGTCCATCTTAGAAGCCGTCAATGCCATCTGTATCCTTTCACGTTTCCAGAATCCATTGGGCAGGTGTTCGTCTCTGATTCCCTTGGTATGCAATGTCCTTGGTACTTCATTTAAGGGAATTAAAATTTGGAAAATTTAGCCTGCGTAAAGTTAGTACCTGTGAACTCAATGAATTCTAAAAAAATTTTTGTGATTCGGACTTCAATGTACCGTGATTCCTGGCTTGTTATAAAACCTGCAGCCTTCCTTAACGGCATCCAATTTCAGCTATGTTACACAACCAGATGCTTTACAGCAGGAAACTTAGCGTGAAAATGGTAAGTGAC